TGAAGAACATATCAGTGATTGCCAGGAGTTGAGGTATGGGGAGGGTGTGACCATAAAGCAGTATCCCAGCAGAGTTTCTTGAGGTGTTGGAGCTGTCCTGTATCTTGATTTTGGTGGTGGTTATACAATTCTATACGCAATGTGTTAAAATTCATAGAACTACATACCAAAAAGTCAATTTTATTGTAAGTTAACTTAAAAGAAGAAAAAAGCATTTGCCCCTTCAGTAAACCCATTGAGGGGCTGTAGACTTATTTCAGTAAAACTATCATTTCTTTTTTTTTTAACTATCATTTCTTAAACCTTTTTTGGAACTCCGGGAGAATTGACTTAGGCACATTATTTTAAATATCTTCAACTTTTCTGTTCCTAATGTGTATCCTTTGAGGATGTTTTGTTTTTGTTTTGTCTGTAAACAGTGAAAAGCTGTTCAGAGATACAGGTCTGATGAATAAGGTGGGTAAAGGCTGGGTAACAACTTAATGGTAAAGAACAAGAGGGAATGATTAATTAGCCAATTTCGATTTCTAGGAATGGTTTGCTAGATATTTGATGTGAACTTCCCCCCTTGAACTAAAAATGCTGGGTATGGTATTTTATTTTATTATTATTTTTTAAGGATTTTATTTATTTGAGAGAGAGAGAGTGCGCGCGCGCGTGCGTGCGTGCATGTGCATGAGTGGGGGGAGGGGCAGAGGGAGAGGGAGATCTGAGAGAATCCCAAGCCGACTCCCTGCTGAGTGCAGAGCCCAGCCTTATGCAGGGCTCCATCTCAAGACCCTGAGATCCTGACCTGAGCGGAAATCAAGAGTCGGATGCTTAACAAACTGAGACACCCAGGTTCCCCAGTATTTTATATTTTATATTTTTGATGCTTTTGTAAATTTTATCAAAGATTCCTTAGATCTCCTATATGTGATCATGTTGTCTACAAATAAAGATGGACTTGCTTCTTTTCTAATCCATATGCATTTTGTTTCTGTTCCTTACTCTATTCTGTCTAGGACTTCAATACAATGTTGATTAGAAGTTGGGCACCTGGCTGGCTTGGTCCTTGGTGCATGGGACTCTTGATCTCACGGGTGTGAGTTTGAGCCCCACGTTGGGCAGAGAGAGAGCCTACTTTAAAAAAGTGGTGATAGTGAGCATCCTTGCCTTGTTTTCAGTCTTTAGAGTTAAAGCATGCAGTCTTTTGTCATGAAGTGTGTGGTAGCTGTAGATTTCTTACAGTGTACCTGTTTATCAGGTTGAAGAAGTTTCCTTCTTTTCCCTGGTGTGCCGAGAATCTTTATCCAAGAGTTTTTATTATGCGTGGGTGTTGCATTTTGTCAATTGCTTTATTCTACTGAAATGTGTATATGCTTTTTTCCCCTTTATTCTGTTAATACGGGAGTCACTTGATTTGTTTTAAAGTGATTAAGCTTGATCGTAATATATATTATTCTTTTTACATATTACTTGGTACACTTTGCTAATATTTTGTTTAAGGATATTTGTATCTATGTTTATGAAGGATATTGAATCTGTAGTTATTTTTTTGTTTTGTTTTTTTACTTGTAATGTCTGTTGATTTTAGTATCAGGATAATGCTGCTTCCTAAAATGAGCTGAGAAGCATTTCCTATAATTTCTGAAGGAGTTGGTATCCTTTCTTCTTTAAGTATTTTGATAGAGTTCAGCAGTTAAAGGTTATATGGGGTTGGGGCTATTTTGTTTTGTTTTTTTTTAATGGAAAGTTTTAAAATTATTCAATTTCTTTAATAGCTAGAGTGCTACTCATGTCTTTTTAAGCCCGTTTTGATAACTTGTGACTTTTGATGTAATCGTGCATTCATTCCATCTAGGTTGAATTTATTGACATAAAGATATTCACAGTATTGCCTTTTAATTTTCATAGGCTCTTGTAGTGTTAGCCCCTTTTTAAGCTTGCTGTTTGTCATTGACATCTTCTTTCTTGATCAGTTTGACTAGAGGTTTATCAATTTTATTGATTTATTCTTTACAAAGAGCAAGTTTTTGTTTTCAGTGATTTTCTACATTGTTTTTCTGATATTTCATGAATTTCTTCTGTCTTTGTTTACTGCTTTCTTCATTCTATGTTGATTTTTTTAAAAAAGATTTTATTTATTTATTTGAGAGAGAGAGCATGAGAGGGGGGAGGGTCAGAGGGAGAAGCCGACTCCTGCTGAGCAGGGAGCCGATGCGGGACTCATCCAGCATCACAACCTGAGTGGAAGGCAGTTGCTTAACCAGCTGAGCCACCCAGACGCCCCCGTCTACGTTGATTTTAATTTTCTTTCTCTAGATTATTACTATTATTTTTTTTGAAGACTTTGTCAGAGAGAGAGTGAACACACACACAAATGGTGGGTGGGGAGCATAAAGGGGGAGGGAGAGAGGGAGAGCATCTCCAGCAGACTCTGCATTGAGCGTGGAGCTTGGCGTGGGGCTCGATATCATGACCCCGAGATCATGACCTGAGCCAAAATCAAGAGTTTGACACTTAAGTAACTGAGCCACCCAGGTGCCCCTCTTTCTCTAGATTCTTTTCTTTCTTTTTTTAATTAAGATTTTATTTATTTATTTGACAGAGAGAGACACAGCGAGAGCAGGAACATAAGCAGGGGGAGTGGGAGAGGGAGAGGCAGGCTTCCCGCTGAGCAGGAAGCCTGATGCAGGACTCGATCCCAGGACCCTGGGACCATGACCTGAACCGAAGGCAGACGCTTAATGACTGAGCCACCCAGGAGCCCCATGTATGCTTTTATATTTAAAGCAAGTTTCTTGTAAACAACCTATAGTTGTAGTATTTTTGTTTTGTTTTTTAAAATCCACTCTGACAATCTGTGTATTTTTTTTTTTAGATCATTTGCACTTAACATGATTATCAATATAGTGATTAGGTGAAAATATATCATCTTGTATGTTTTTCTTTTTCTTCTCTGTTCTTTGTTCCTTTTTTCCTTGCCTTTTTATTTTATTTTCATTTTTTTTTAAGATTTATTTATTTATTTATTTGACAGAGAGGGAGAGAGAGACAGCGAAGAGGGAACACAAGCAGGGGGAGTGGGAGAGGGAGGGAGAGGCAGGCTTCCCGCCGAGCAGGGATCCCGATGTGGGGCTCGGTCCCAGGACCCTGGGATCATGACCTGAGCTGAAGTCAGATGCTTAACTGACTGAGCCACCCAGCGGTCCCATATTTTTTTTTTTTTAAAGATTTTATTTATTTATTTTAGAGAGAGCACAAATGGGGGTGGGGAGGAGAGGGAGAAGCAGACTCCCTGCTGAGCAGGGAGCCCGATGTGGGGCTCTATCCCAGGACCCTGGGATCATGACCTGAGCCGAAGTCAGGTGCTTAACTGACTGAGCCACCCAGACACCCCTTTTCTTGCCTTTTTAAAAAATATTAATTGGGTGTCTTTAGCATTTTATTTTGTCTCTGCTCTTGGCTTATTACTTACGCCTTTTTACAGGTTGCCCTTGGGTTAACATTATACACTTTATCACTGCCTACCTGCAACTACTATTATAGTGTCTTATAACTATTATAGCATCTTTTACAAGTACACTTAAAAGTATACTTCCATTTCTCTCCTTTCATCAAGAAATTAAAAAATGAGAAAAAGTCTGTTATGTTTACCCACATAATTATACATATTTAAAGGTACTCTGTTCTGTTGTATTGTTTTAGATTGCCATCTGGTATTATTTTCATTTAAGCCTGAAGAACTTCTTTTATCCTTTCTTTTAGTATAAGTTTGCTGGCAATTTTCTCATCTTTTATTTGTCTGAAAAAGTGTGTATTTCACCCCCAGTTTTGAAGAATAGTTTTGCTGGTGTTTCAGGTTTGCAATTCTCTCAGCTCTTTAAAGCTGTGTTTTGTGTTCTGGCTTGCCCTTACTGATAAGAAGTCTGAATTCATTCTTATCTTTGTTCTTTTGAACATAATGTGTCTTTTTCCGTAGGCTGCTCTTAAAATTATCTCTTTGGCTTTGGCTTTTAGTGATTTGATTATAATATGCCGTCGTGTACAGTTTTGAGGTTTATCCTGCTTGGGTTTGTTGAGTTTCTAGGAGCTGTGGGTTTATAATTTTCACCAAATTTGGAAGATTTTGGCTATTGTTTGGTCCAAATATATATATATTTGATATATAATATATATATTAGAAAGGAAGCTTGCACGTGTGAGCCGGGGGTGGGAGGGGCAAAGGGGGAGGGAAAGAGAATAAGAGAATCTTAAGTAGGGGCGCCTGGGTGGCTCAGTCGTTAAGCGTCTGCCTTCTGCTCAGGTCATGATCCCAGGGTCCTAGGATCAAGCCCCGCATCCGGCTCCCTGCTCCCCGGAAGCCTGCCTCTCCCTCTCCCACTCCCCCTGCTTGTGTTCCCTCTCTCGCTGTGTCTCTCTCTATCAAATAAATAAATAAAATCTTAAAAAAAAAAAATCTTAAGTAGGCTCCATGCTCAGCAAGGAGCCCAACGTGGGGCTTGATCTCACGACCCTGAGATCATGACCTGAGCCCAAATCAAGAGTTGGATGCTTAACTGAGACACCCAGGCACCGCAGTCAAATATTCAAAAGCATTTCCTCCTCCTTTCCTGAGACTCCAGTTATACATATTCAAGAACTTGATTTATTGGGAGGTTAGGGGATATCCTTAGGGTGTGTCTGCCACAACTTCCCAAAGCAGAGGCCTGGTGACCTTCCTACTGTGTCAGTATCCATTACCTCCCACCTGCTACAGGTAGTAAGGTCCATTTGTGCCTTTGCAGGTGACCTTTGTTTTATGACAAAATATATAATTTGGAATTTTCTCATAATAAGCATCTCATCTTAGTGAATAGAATTAAGATGAAAATCTTCCCTAGGATATACCTGTGAGACTGAAAGAAATTCTAATTTAAAGACATAGATACAGTTGACAGTAGCAAATGCTTCCTTATGTAATTGAATGTGACATTAATTCTCCTACTATACTTTGTCAAATTACTCTTATTCTTCAGTGCAGGAATCACGGCCATGGCCCCCACCCTCCAGGATTTGGTCGACATGGAATCTGTGCATCTGAAAGCAAAGAACTTGCCAAAGCGAGAGAAGCTCTTCCTCTTATAGAGGACTCTAGTAACTGTGACATTGTAAAAGCTACCCAGTAAGTCTCCCCAATGTTTCATTTTATCCTGTGTTCTGTTGAATTATAATGACGTTTGTGCATTTCATGGCATCCCAAGTGTATACCTTCCTCACTTCATACTTAAGCGCAGGCATGTTTGTCCTACCAACATCAGAGCACTTAATGCAGTGCACCCTATTAGCTGTGGATTACCAGTCTCTCCCATTAAATCATGAGCAGCTTCTTAGCAAAAGCATGTCGTTTTTATCCTTGTCATCCCAGTGCTTTTGCATAGTTCTTGTCATGTATCAGGTGCTGAATAAATCTTTGTTGAGTGAATGAATGATTATAAATGATACTAAAACTATGAGTTTGAAACACAAATCTGAGTTTTTAAAAACGTACTACAACCTAAATAGGTCAACAGAATGGAAAAATATCAGCTCACACATTTATGGATATATTAAACAATTATTTATTGAGTAATTTCTATGTACCTATTGTACTGGGTGCACTGGAAGAAAGTCAGTAAAGTAAAATAGGTTTTCTGACCTCTTGAAGCATATAGCGGGTTATTTGCTTGCACTGAAAATGAAAGTATGTTTTGAAAGTTTCCCCTTAAGATCTCCATATGTGGGTATGTGCATTAAATCATTTCTAACATTTTCACCCTCACGGATCTCACTGTTCATTAACATCCACCCCACCTCTTGCCATTGAACGTATTTTGAAATATTTTGTCTCTCAGACTACATTAAATTGACTACTACATTTTCTTAGTAATCAAATACAAATCTGCCCATCAGAGCTAATCAACTTATAAGGAACTAATGTTATCACACCTAACTTGATATAATTTCTATCAAAAGCAAAGATGTTTGGTGATTAATTAGCCTGTTAAGCCTTAACAGAGACTAATGTGTTATTTATGTTAAAAAATAATCGACGATTATTTGAGTATTCTAATTACTAATTTATATGAACTCTAGAGGCCCTTGGAACTGCTACTTTAGGTGAATATTATTTGATATTATTTATATTCTTATTTTTATATGAAAGTAAGAGTGTTCTTAAGGTAAATCTTTGCTTTAATTAGCATAGAAGCGTTTAAATGTTTATCTGCTGCCAGTAAAGCTCTGTTATGATAAATGTAAGAAATTAGGCTACATTCACAGGGAATCTCAGTAAAAACTCACATTTTATATCTTTCCTAAAATTTCCTTCAGGTCTTGGACCTTCTTAAGTGGTTGTGGGAATATCATTAGGTAGTATTTGGAAAGGGCGAAAGAGAACTAGGATAGGTATATTCTCTAAATTACTAAAATCTCATTAGTGTGTACTCATATTTCTCACATAAAGGGAGTATTTCTTTTTCAGTAAAATGTTAAAGTTGACATTTAAAACTTGGAGAATATGAATATATGTATCATTATCACCAGTTCACTCTCTCATTACTATTTTCACTTAGCATTGTTAAACAGGTATCTCTATCTTAAAAAGTGCCATAAAGACAGACTGATAAGCACACACATTTTGGTAAGGCAGAAATTATTTAATCTAAAATGTGATTTTGACCCTTGAGGGCCTATTAAAACATTCGGGTCCCTCTAAATGAAAATGAGTCTCAAAGAAAGTGCTAAATGGTCTCTTGAGGACTTAATAGTTACTGTTAGAAAGAAAGAAAGCTAATCAGTGATTTAAAAAATTACTATAGCATTAAAGAGAGACATTTCTCATTCTGATAGTCCATTAAATAACCCTCTTCAATATTCCTCCAGTCCATCCCTCCTTTTCCATCTCTTAGTTTAGGTTCTCATTGCCTCTCACCTGTATGTCTCTACAAGAGTCACCCTCTTCTAATTAACTCCCATTCCACCACTCATGCAATCTTTCTTAAAACTCAGCGTGTGTGCTTTCCTCTTTAAAACCTTCAGTGGCTTCCCTTTGAGCTAAGAAGTCTAAACTCATAGCATGGCCTAGAAGGCCCATGCAGGCTTTGCCTTCCTCTTCTAGCCTTGTCTCTTGCCATTCCCTTCCTTTATGCTTAATGCTTCTGCCATGCTAACTTGCTTATATTTCTCTGAACATCATGCAGTTTCACATCTCTGATTTTTGTCCAGGCTATTTCCTCGGCCTCAGATACCCTTCCTTCAGCCTATGAGACAGCTCACATATATCGTGCTTCATCTCCTTCAGGAAGGGCTAATCTTTCCTTTCTTTGCTGTAACTATACCATGTCTACATTGTATTGTTGAATTTATCCCGTTCCTACTTTGCTCTTAGTCTCTCTCCCTTATTAAGGGATAGGATTGTAGTCAGGGATCAGCACTATGCATTTCTGGCATATAGTAGAGGATAAAAGGAAATTTATTGAAGGGAGGGGAAATGTGAATGTTGAAGTTTAGTTAAGAAGATCAAGTTCAACTCCAAGTGGGTTGGTCTGATCAGTTAGAAAATAAGGTTTACTTTCGTTGTTTACAAGGCTTAACAATATGCCCTCTGTGTACATCTTTGTTAATTACTGTATTTCTGTGTCAACTGAAAGACAGATTGGATAAAGATGTGATAAAAGGAAGAAATTTTGGTATTTGAAATTATTTTAATGGTATCAATTATGCTTTTTTTTTTTTCCTTATTTGAGATACGGGATTTTTGAACGTTGTAAAGAGTTGGTAGAAGCAGGATATGATGTCAGGCAACCCGACAAAGAAAATGTGTCGCTTCTTCATTGGGCTGCTATTAACAACAGGCTGGATCTTGTAAAGTAAGATGGGATATATGTGTGTTAATTAAGTGTGTATTTGTTTTTCTAGACCTCTCTTCATTTGTCTTTTTCTTCAAGTACAAGTATGAATGTTGTACCATCTGTCATCTTTTATTGTGAATGAATACCTGAAACTTCATGCCATACACATCAGTTCATAGTGTTGAACCTTAGTGATCGTCTATTTTTCTTAGAATAAATACATGAAAACAGAAATTATAATAACCCTCTGTAAAAGCACTCAGACCTACAGAAGTCTGAGATTCACACAATAGCATCAGACAGATCCCTGGTGAAATATTCTCAGCAAAAACCTTGGAGTTTAAGAAAATAAAAGTGTACTAATGTTTAAAATATACTCAAATAAACACACTTTATATTCCCTGGCAAACTCCTTTTCTGTGGAAATAAACTAGATTATTTGGATAATATGATATATGAAGCATAACTTTAAAATAATGAGATTAATTCCTATAAACCACAGAAGAAAATAAGTCTCTTTACCTTATAGGTTTACCTGATACACTGTATCACACCTGTGACCCCGAAATAGAAAGCCAAATACTCAAAGTGTCTAACTTTTCTGAAAGGATTTTGAATGAATTTTTTACTACTTACTTTTAGAATTCAGTCCTGCCTAGTAATTCTAATTCTAAACTGTTAAAAGTGACATAATTCCACCTTTCGTCTTGCAAGTTAAGTAGAATGTCTGTATGATCCTAAATGTTTTGAATATAAACCGTTTTGAGAGTACTGAGTAATTAGAGTACGTGGAGAGTAGTTATTGTGCATTTGGTATGTCAGTTATAATGGAATGCTCCTGACAGCAGGAGTAATTATTGATATGCTGAGAATATTTCACCAGGGATCTGTTTGATGCTGTTGTGTGAATCTCAGACTTCTGTAGGTCTGAGTGCTTTTAGGGAGGGTTATTATAATTTCTGTTTTCATGTATTTCTTACTAAGAAAAATTAATGTTTTCTTTCTCAGCATGAATTTTAAGTTTTAAATCTTATTTTCATTTATGTCTGTTTTTAATAGGTTTTATATTTCAAAAGGTGCTGTAGTAGATCAGTTGGGTGGAGATTTAAATTCGACTCCTCTTCACTGGGCCATCAGGTAAAGGTTTCTTTGAACACTGAAATTGCTATTCAGAATCAAAGTGACTTAAGTTCATTTTCTGAATCTTGTAGACCAGCACTTTCTTACAGTATTTTCTGTGATAATGGAAGTGTTCTGTTATGTGGTGGCCACTAGCCACATGTGAAATATGGTTAATGCAACTAAGGAAATGAATTTTTAATTTTATTTAATTTTAACTAATTGAATTTAAATAGCCACATGTGGCTAGTAACTATGTTATTGGAAACTTGTTACAGACCTTTGAAAGGCTTTCTTTCCCTTTTTTCCCCCACCTTCATTAAAAAAAAAAAAAAAATTACAGTTCTAAAGAGTTTCCAGAGACAGTGTTTTTTAGTGTTTAATTTAGGGTTCCATTATGATGCTAAAACTCAAATATGTGTATTATACTTTCTTATAATCAAAGTAAGTATCTTTTATATCTGATCACATGGATAAAGCTATAGTTCAGAGAACTGTAAACTCAGTTCTTTTTTTTCAAATTTTTATTTAAATTCTAGTTAGTTAACATACAGTGCAGTATTGGTTTCAGGAGTAGCATTCAGTGATTTCATCACTTACATATAACACCCAGTACTCATTATAACAAGTGCTCTCCTTAATACCCATCTCGGTCAGTTCTCTTCTGTGGTATATATTGGCCATTTAAAGCTCAAGTTAACATGCTTGTCTTGATACTTAACAATTTCTTCATCTGTCATTTTAATCCCAGTCTCTGGTTGGTGGGGTTGGTGTGAACCCCAAACTAAAATGAATAATTGTTCATTTAAGAAAAGGAGTGGAGTCTTTTTTCCATAGCCAAGAATTTTGAAGAATTTAGGTTACCTCATCCCTTTTAAGCTAGCAAGGTACAATGCTTTACATGGAAAATGAGCCATATTCAAGTGTAAAAGTATGTAGTTCCTAAGAATAAATAATACTATCATGTATACCTGTAGTCTGTGAATGTTGTACTTCAGTGTATCTGGCTCATGATTATTTCTTGTTTTTAAAATAGCAACATAGCAACAGTGAGGGGCGCCTGGGTGGCTCGGTCGTTAAGTGTCTGTCTTCAGCTCAGGTCATGATTCCAGGGTTCTGGGATCGAGCCCTTGCAGGGCTCCCTGCTCCGCGGGAAGCCTGCTTCTCCCTCTCCTCCCCCCTCCCCCCGCTTGTGTTCCCTCTCTCTCTGTCAAATAAATAAATAAAATCTTTAAAAAACATTTTTAATAAAATAGCAACAGTGAAGTCTAAGTGGTTTTAAAGTTTTCATTTTGGGCATTAGTCATGTAAAATTATTACTTATATGTGGTAGCAACATAAGGTTTATAGTAGATTGGGAGGTTATTAAGTATATTAGCAGCACTCAAGAAAGACTTTCCAGATAGCTCTAAGTTTGGAGCATTAAAGTGAAATATGTTTAGAGAATCTCCAGTGTTTTAAAAGTCTGTTAGGAAATCCTCTTTATATTGAACCAAAATCTTCCATGTCTTAGGGATATCAGTTTCTCCCTGAAGTTTTTCTTTTTCTGCATGCTACAGAAAACAGTATAATTTTTATCCTCTATCTACAGACAAGGACATTTGCCTATGGTCATATTATTACTACAGTATGGAGCAGACCCCACTCTCATTGATGGGGAGGGCTTCAGCAGCATCCACCTGGCAGTATTATTTCAACACATGCCCATTATAGCCTATCTCATCTCCAAAGGACAGGTATGTTTTGAGACCTATCTCATACTCCAGCTATTGTGAACCTGAAGAGATTGGGAGGATGGTTAGTAATAGTCTGTCCTCGTTTTTAAAGTAGATGTTATAGATATCCAGATACTCAAATATTAGCCTCAGTAAAGCTAGCTATTGAATGCTGCTTTTCTAGCTTCATTGGAGCAAAAAGGACAGGTCATTTAGCACAGTAACATGTAATAGGTATTTTTGAAACTTGTAAGCCTACAATAGTTTTCCTTATGATCCCAGTAATTTGCAGAGTTTTTCAAAAACATGACTTTAAAAGCCTGTATTTTTCTTCTGGTTGAATGTAGAAATGGTAGTCAGATCACTAAATTAACCCATCATTTGCTTTCATTATTTGAGTCCAAATGGGAGACCAATTTGAATGTGTGCTTCTTATTGTTCTCTAAAGTAATTCCATGAAAAATGACTTGCCTTAAGAGGCATCCATTTATGGCACAGGTTAAATTATAGGGTACTGGCGGTGGGAGTTTCACTGTCAGCTGTACTTGTCTGGGAAGTGCTTTCTGGTAGCAAAGTAGTTTATACATCAGCAGACTTGCCGGTAACAGGCATGGAAACGTGTTTGCACAAATGCTCTTGGAATGATTGTGTTCTTTTTAAATAAGCACTTTCTCTCAGACTTAGCCAGCTGAAGTAGAATAATTATAACCTCTTGGGTCTCATTTTGGGAAGACATATGAGGAGGAGCCCTGTCTGCCTCTCTTTGGGCTCTTTCCCGAGTTGTATTCCTCCAGGGCCCAAAAGACTCTTCGGTAACTGAAACTCTTTCTTTGACTTGGATGGAACCATTATTGTGTGCCTCAAACCTGGGCCCATTTATTAAAAGGAGCATATCCTCGTGGAGATAGGGTTTCCTTTTTTCCCCCCTATATTCTAAAAAATAGAAAATAATTTTTCACGTTTTACTCTTTGAAACAGAAGTCCAAAAATACAGTGAGTTGCCTCAGAAAAGATGGATATTTCACTATCCCTTGTGTGTTTACATAAAGACTGGGTACCATTGTATAAGACACGGTAGTTTGAATTCCTGTGTCAGTTAAGGTGTAACCTCAATGATTCCTAAGGTCTCTGCAGTCTCTTATATTTGATGGCCATTATTAGCATTCTCCCCCTTTCCTTAGCTCTCTTCCATTCACATTATACACTTTAAACCATATATTCAGATTTTCCCTTTAAGAATATTTTGTAGAAATCAATGGATTTTTACCCTATGGATGTGAAGCAGAACATTCTTTTGTTCAAATGATATTTGAACCCTTCTTGTAAACACAGTGGTAATGTTGAATGTATTAGAGAGCTACATCCATTAAGAGAAGAGAGAATTTTGACTGCGTTTACAGTAAGTCTGATTGACTCTTCTTTTTGAACAGAGTGTGAATATGACAGATTTAAATGGGCAGACACCTCTCATGTTATCAGCTAACAAAGTACTTGGGTAAGTACATTTAACTGAATTGCCTCATTTGGATTCTTGGTTCTAATTTCTGTGTATGTAATTTTAAGTATCTTAGAATGTTGAGATGATACTACCTTGTGAAAAAGAAAGATTTTCCACCTTGTGACTGATAGGAACTTTTAATGTCGTTGTGGTTAGACAGGCACCACTGAAATAAATTTTCTTTTTCCTGGTAGCTTTGGGGAAAAGTTTGAAAACTACTACTAAGAAAAAAATTTCCTTACAGAACAAGTAGAGATTCCATAGCATATACTTATTAATGTGACTTATATTTCTGAGTTTGCATTTTTTAAAAAAGGGCTACAAGTTTAAATGTTCTCATAATTTGAAATCTAGATGATAAAATCTTTTCAGAAAACAATACATGTTGAGGTTCTCTGACGTTGACCGCGCTGAAAATATTAATTGTAACTGATCTTTGAATATAGTCTATTGTTATGTTTATATCAAGTATTTACATACTTAAGTTTTTCTATGTATTGTATAAACACATGTGATTAATGACCAGCATATAGTCCCAACTTCTGGTATTCTTTCTGTCCAAATACTTGCTACAGTTTTACCTTTATGAATTTGTTTCCAGTGTTGTACTTAATTTCTGATTCTGCTTTTACTTAGGACCTCTCTCCTAGGAACCGAGTTAGTTGTGATGCCATTTCCTTTTGTTCATGGAGTGCTGGGGCTAGGGGTTGAATTTTGTTAAAAAGCATTTCATCTTTTTTGCTGATAACTCTAAAGTCAGATAATAGTGTTTAAAGATGTTGATAGAATAAGTAAGTAGAATATTGCTTTATTAAAAAAATCTCTTCAGCAGTCACGAAGGAATGGAAGATAGTGATGGTAAAGTAAAAATATTGAATTCTGCCTGCAATAATTGGTTAAAGGGAACATGGAAAATTAGCTTTTGGCTTATCCCCTCAAATATAATGTTGTACATTTCGTTTTTAATTAGGTAAATGACATAGCATTGGCCAAAGTTAAATTCACAATTTAAGAAAAAATGTTAACCAATAGAACAACAACATGAAAGTAAAAGTTTGAAAAACAAAAGCAGTTATTCCACTGTATTGATGTTGAAATTATATTATCTGTGTAGCAGACTGTCACTTGTAGGTGTGTTTTTGGGGGGTGCATCTCTCCTATTAGCCCCTGGAATAGAACTGTGCAGAAAGAAGTTTCTTGGTTTTCAGAATACTTAACTGATTGGTCAATTTATACCCTAGCTTAAAAGATTTGTTATTTTGTGGCGGGGATGCGGAGAAAGGGGAACCCTCCTACACTGTTGGTGGGAATGCAAGCTGGTGCAGCCACTCTGGAAAACAGTATGGAGGTTCCTCAAACAGTTGAAAATAGAGCTACCATACGATCCAGCAATTGCACTACTGGGTATTTACCCCAAAGATACAAATGTAGGGATCCGAAGGGGTACATGCACCCCGATGTTTATAGCAGCAATGTCCACAATAGCCAAACTGTGGAAAGAGCCAAGATGTCCGTCGACAGATGAATGGATAAAGAAGATGTGGTATATATACACAATGGAATATTATGCAGCCATCAAAAGGAATGAGATCTTGCCATTTGCAACGACGTGGATGGAACTGGAGGGTGTTATGCTAAGTGAAATAAGTCAATCAGAGAAAGACATGTATCATATGACCTCACTGATATGAGGAATTCTTAATCTCAGGAAACAAACTGAGGGTTGCTGGAGTGGTGGGGGGTGGGAGGGATGGGGTGGCTGGGTGATAGACATTGGGGAGGGTATGTGCTATGGTGAGCACTGCGAATTGTACAAGACTGATGAATCACGGATCTGTACTTCTGAAACAAATAATGCAATATATGTTAAGAAAAAAAAACAGAAGAAGAAGAAGATAGCAGGAGGGGAAGAATGAAGGGGAGTAAGTCGGAGGGGGAGACGAACCATTAGAGACGATGGACTCTGAAAAACAAACAGGGTTCTAGAGGGGAGGGGGTGGGGGGATGGGTTAGCCTGGTGATGGGTATTAAAGAGGGCACATTCTGCGTGGAGCACTGGGTGTTATGCACAAACAATGAATCGTGGAATACTACATCAAAAACTAATGATGTAATGTATGGTGATTAACATAACAATAAAAAATTATTTAAAAAAAAAAGATTTGTTATTTTGCATTTACCCGTGAAATCATTCATCTCTCTTAATACTCCTGGGTATTTTATTGTTTTGAGACAGGCCAGAACCAACTGGATTTCTTTTAAAGTTTAATCCTTCTCTCAATGTGGTTGATAAAATACACCAAAACACTCCACTCCACTGGGCGGTTGCAGCAGGAAATGTTAATGCAGTCGATAAACTTTTGGAAGCTGGTTCTAGCCTGGATATCCGAAATGTTAAGGTATGACCAGGTATTTATCTCCCTTAGTTTATTAGGTCTTCAGTTAGAAAATTAGTACATCAACATAAACATAAGCTATACATATATTTTCAATTAACCACAAGATAAATAACCATCAACTGTAGCTGGCTACTTTCAGAATGAATACATTTGAGTCTGTGATTCTGCTGATTTCTTATAAAATGTTTAGCACCCATACTCTGTGGAAAATATAATTGAATTTTCTGTCTCTTTTTAAGGGTGAAACACCTCTTGATATGGCTCTGCAAAACAAAAATCGCCTCATTATTCACATGCTAAAAACAGAAGCCAAAATGAGAGCCAACAAGAAGTTCAGACTTTGGAGGTGGCTGCAGAAATGCGAGGTATGTTCATATGGGTCCTGTTCTGTGGGCCATAAGAACTGTTTTATTCATTTGTGTTTGTTTCTTAAGGCAAATCAGGGAGGAAACCAGGGCGAAACCAGGAAATTGGCTTAGTGCTACATTACATCTGCTCATCGCATCTTTCCCACGCATCCCGTAGCCGAGTTGGAAATTTGGCACTTTCATTAGCAGTTTACTATTGGTCCTCAGCTAGATGGCTCTAAAGCTACGTGTTATCTTGTGAATGTCATAGCATACTTCCACGTTTATTTAATGAATGAATTGAAAACAGACGGTTTAGATTCTTAAACAAGCAAAAGGGAAAATACCTTGTTGCGAGGAAATTTGTGGAAGATTTTCTTTTTTTTTTTTTTTTTTAAGATTTTATTTCTTTATTTGAGAGAGAGAGAGCGCATGAGAGGGGGGAGGGTCAGAGGGAGAAGCAGACTCCCTGCCGAGCAGGGAGCCCGATGCGGGACTTGTTCCAGGGACTCCAGGATCATGACCTGAGCCGAAGGCAGTCGCTTAACCAACTGAGCCACCCAGGCGCCCTGTGGAAGATTTTCTTAAAGAAATTGTTTTTATTGAAATTTTTTTCAAGAGGAAAATAGTAACATTCAACACGGATGAGTTAGACTTTAAAAATAAGTGTTGCAGACTTCAAGCATGTGGTGGCTCTTCACAAAATGAAAACATCTGGAATTTCAAGAGATGTACCCAAGTTTACTCTTTGTTTAACTTGGCAGTTTCGAGTGATGTGAAAGTGAATTGATAGAGAAAGTTAGGATGTTCAGCTTGTTCTCGTGAATGGCCCAAAAAATCTGTCATATTAGTGAACATAATTCAAATTCTACTATTTTTAATGTTTTCAAATATGACAGATGGCATCATCTTATCTAATAATGATTAGTAATTATATCCTCAGAATGATTCTAAATTCACAGACACCAGATTTCTATGCAGGGGTCATCACAAATACCACACCTATTTTGGCATTCATATGTATGGAGGGAGAGAGGAAGAAGTTAACTGTCACTCCTCAGTATCCTTTGCCAGCTCCTCTGCTTCCCTCCTACCCCCTATTGGTAGGGTGCCCCAGGATTTTGTTCTTGGACCTTTTTTTTAATCCATTCATTCCCTTGGTGATTCCCTTGGTGATTTCATATATTTCCATGGCTTTTTTTTAAAAGGTTTTATTTATTTATTTGAGAGAGGGAGAGAAAGAGCACAAATGGGAGGGGCAGAAAGAGAGGGAGAAGCAGACTCCCCGCTGAGCAGGGAGCCCAGTGTGGGGCTCAATCCCAGGACCCTGGGATCGTGACCTGAGCCAAAGGCAGATGCTTAACTGACTAAGCCACCCAGGCCCCCCCAGTACACTTCCATGGCTTTAAATGCCATGTACAGGTTGACAGCTTCCAAAGTTATCTCTAGTTCAGATATTTCCAGACTCATATATCCAGTTGCCTACTTACCCGGTTCCATGTCTGATAGGCATCTCCAGCATAACATATCCAAAACTGAACTCCCGATCTTTGCCCCACTCCTCCCCAACTGTTCCATCCACAGCCTTTCCCTTCTCAGTAGGTGGCAACTCGGGCTTCCCAGCCATTTTTGTCTTTTCTCTGTCACACCATGTATCCAGTCCATTAGAAAACCACATTGGCTAATTGTGCTTCAGTCTATATCTGGGAGTCTGACCCCTTGTCAGTGTTCCACCAGTGGCATTTTGGTCCAGCCACCGTTATCTTTCATGCAGATTACTGCAGGTGTCTGACATCTCCTTGCCCCCACTCACCTCTAGTCCATTCTAACAGAGCAGCTAGATGAATCTTTGGAAATGCAGGTCAGGTCCTGTCATTCATCTGCTCAGAATCCTGTGATATCTCCCCCTTTGTCCCAGAATAAAAGCCAAAGTCCTTACAGTGACTTTTAAGGTTCTGTGTGATCAAGGTATTTATGTACTATTAAATCACTTAGTACATTTAGCTGTCATCTTCTGCTAGAATTTAAGCTCCATGAGAGAAAGATCTTAAATCATGATGTGTCCCAAGTGCCTAGAACAGTGCCCAGCATACGGTACGCACTGGAATAGTTACTGAGTAAATAAATACTGTGGCTCATTAGGAGTGTTAATGTCTGGGGTTAAAATTTGAGATCCATATTTAATTCATAGTTTTGTTCTGAGAGTATGTTGCTTGTAGATTCTAAGTTTACTACTTTTTAAAAAATCTAAACTTGCTAATTTTATATTGCCATGCAAATTAGATTTAGGATTTTAAATATTTGAAAGCATTTGAAAGTATTCATCCTCAGAATACTTAGAGAAGTAAAAATCAAAGAAATTAGGGCAGAATAAGTTTTCTCCCTTTGCTGTTACAAAAGCCCTACTGGCTTCCAAGGTCATGTATATTGCAGTTAAGGGACTGCATTGCAGCAGTGTGGTGCCCAGCTTCAGTGCAGTCAGTCACACTGTTGGTTCATAGATACTTCATTCTTTTTTTTTAAAGATGTTATTTATTTGAGAGAGAGGGAAAGAGAGAGAGCGTGTGCACATGAGAGGGGGGAGGGTCAGAGGGAGAAGCAGACTCCCTGCTGAGCAGGGAGCCCGATGCAGGACTCGATCCCGGGACTCCAGGATCATGACCTGAGCTGAAGGCAGTCGCTTAACCAACTGAGCCACCCGGGTGTCCCATAGATACTTCATTCTTAACTTTGCCAGAATAAACCTGAATGATTAGCATCCTGAGGATTTAATTCAGTCTTTGGCCTCTGTGTGACATTTGACAACTGAGAACTACTCCTTTCTTGAAACTCTCTTCTCTGGCTTCATGGGGACCTTTCTCTTGGTTCTCATCCTGCCTTTCTGGTCACACCGGTCACTCTTTCTTGGTGACTTTTGATGACTTAGCTTTTTCCCCCTTAAATGTTTGTGTTGGCCAAGATTCCGCCCCTTTCCACCTGTACACAGTCTTTGGGATGTTGTTCATTCATGGCTTTCCAGCCTGTATACTGATGAGTACAAAATGTTCTCCTGGGTGGTAGACCTGCTTTTTCTTACTACCTCTTGGGTATCTCCTGGATGCCCATAGGCATCTGAAATTCCACATGCCCTAAACTATCATCTTTTCTGCAAATTTGTTCCCTCTGACCTTCTTTATTAGGGGCTAGCACCATCTGGTGTTCAGGCTGGAACTCCTGTACTCTCCTCACTGAGTCTTGGGTGTATTGATTTTTGTGTGGTTCCTTTGTTTTGCTTTATGCTTTCTGACCTGCAGTTACTGTTTGAAAGGAACTAGTTTTTAAAAATGTTAGCTCTCATTAGCACTTTCCTAAAAGACCACCATTTCTTGGAGGGGAAGAAAGCAAGAGAAAACATGTTTAAGCAATATTTTATAAAGTCTAAGGCTTTTAAAAGATTGTTTCCAAGATTTGTGGTTTCTCAGACTTCAAATTTATCAATCAGCAATTTCAGAGAAAAAACTCTGTATCCTGCTGTTGTATTGTTATATATTTAGGAAGTAGTTCTTTTGTTGTACTAATCATTGTTAGAAACTTAGGATGTAAAATCCATAAAGTTCTAAAATTCTCAATCTCTTAATAGCTCTTCCTGCTGCTGATGCTTTCTGTGATTACCATGTGGGCTGTTGGATACATACTGGACTTCAATTCAGATTCTTGGCTTTTAAAAGGATGTCTTCTATTAACATTGTTTTTTCTGACATCTTTGTTTCCAAGGTGTGTATATTAGTTTTTGCAAGGCTGGTTATTGCATTTCCATTTGATTACTTATTTCTATTGTCGATTAGTTAGAATCATAGGTTTTTATTGAGCTATGACTGTTACTACATAGAGACTTCTTCAGGGGTGGTGGGAGGGAGGGGCTTTGGTAGCATATGTTTTAGCTGAAAGCAAATTGGTCAACCCAGTAATTTGATTGAACTGGCAATTGATGGAAAATGAAGATCCTAGCTCACTTTTTGAATTGTTGATTTTGGTAAATAATGAGAAGATTTTTGTAACTGTTTTGCATCTTGAAGCATTTTTGCCCTTTTTTCAGAATGTTTTTCCTTAATCTAAACTTATTCAAGCTTGTTATTTTTGGTCTTAATGCTTTATAGTTGAAACAACCTAATTAAATTATACAAAATTATAAAATAGTAGCTGCATATGGTTCTGTTTTTAGGAAAATATTATACATGATTATGTATAATCATGGTTAAGAGTCAGGTTGCCTGGGTTCAAGTCAGGCTTTACCACACAGCAGTCTGACGTTAAGTTGCTTTACCTCTCTGTGCCTCACTTTGTTCATCTATAAAATGTGGATAATTGTGACAATGCCTGCTTCATGGTTAATGCATTTACAATGGTTGGAACCATGGCTGACACACATTACTCAATAATCATGCCACACCCCAAACTCTTCTCACTTCCATTTGTCAATAAAATGGCATCCCGTTCCCTGTGTGAATGATGAGTGCCATCCCTGGATTACTTTCATCTTCGATTCTTCCCTTCCCACATCCAGTCCATCACCAAGTCCTTCCTGCTCTTTGTCCAGTCAGTCTGCTCTCTCCATCTCCACACTGGCACCCTAGACCAAGGTTCCTAACTGGTCTCCTTACTTCCGCTATTATCCCTTTATAGTTCATCTCCACTTAGCAATCAGCATGGTCTTTTAAAAAGGCAAATAAATCAGTTTCTGTCTTTTCTCCCTGCTTTAAGCCCTCCGGTTCCTTTTCTGTGTCTTCAAAATAAAATCCAAACTCCTTGCCCGTGAGGTATTATGTGATTCGATCTCCCCTCTGATTTCATTTCTTTCCTCTTTTCCCTTTTCTGCTCTTCTGCCTTCTTTCTATTTCTAGAACACATTGAGGTCATCCCCCCCCCCCCGCCCGAGCCTTGGCTCTTGCTTCTTTGTCTGAAGTGTTCCAATACCATATTGTTGTTGTATAGCAGGAGACATAACTATTCAGGCCTCAGGTCCAGTGTCACCTCCTTAGGCCGGCTCTGACTAACGCTCTGCATCACCCTGTTTGATTTCGTTCATAGCACTTAATCACCATTTCCTGGAGTGTTAAGGCCCCTATAAGCAGGAAACTTGTTTCTCCTGTTCAATATTTTCATTTACTGAATGAAAGAAAAATGTAATGATGATGATCCATACAAAAGGATCTAAAAGGAAATACAGTATTGCTCTCTTCAGGGTGTGGTTGGTGTTCGGTATTCCTGTGCCCTTTTTTGCTTGCCAGCATTATCTGGAATAAGCATGAGCTGCTTGAGTCATGAGAAAAAAAAGTATTAGAGGAATCTTACTCTTGGTCACTCAAGAGCAGGACAGTCGGCTAGAAATTAATTAGAATATAAATGTAAAGTAAAAACTTATTTTTCTGAAAAATAACAAAATGCCTAAAATTGTCTGCTATTCAGAAAACTTGTAACATAGAGATATTTATTCATTTTCCACTACTTAGATTGACTCAGTTGCCAAAGGAAATTTTAAGCCAGATCCCCAGGAGTCTCAGTCATCACTTCGGGGTTTTTGCTTTTGCTTTTTCAAAGGGCTGGCAGTATCTCCTCACCCAGGATAGGAACATTAGAGGTTTTGTTTTCTAGTAGAAACTAACATTATACGAAAATTCTATGGAACTTTTGTTTTTGCTGACAGTGAGTCGAGAGCTTCATATGCTAGGCTTGGCATATGGACACAGTTCAAATGGGAGACAAATGCATATGGCAGCTTTATCCATACTGCTTTTATTTCTCTCATACCCTTCTGTAGAGACCCAGTTTCATGGAGCTAGGCAGCTGCAAACGTCTACTATTATTTAGGCTCCAGGGGCAGTTGCTTATTGATCCAGGCTGCTATGTGATGCCAGTTAGAAGTAGACAGGTTGTGGTAGCAGACGCTTACGGATAGGTAGTTCGCTGCACTACTTAATTAGGTCAAACACATTTGTGCTGCAAAATCTCAGACAGGTAATGCTGTGGAGGTTACATGGGCTCCATTTGGCCTACTCTGGCAGCATTTTATGTGCCTGAAGTTTGGGATCTTTAGTTTTTCTGAAATATTTTATCTTAATTACGCTTATGATCTTGATAGCTTTTTAAAAAAATCCTTTTCCTACCCGTCATCAACCATTGTTTTTTCCTGGTATAAATTTTAAAACAGATCCAGGTATACTCTGTTCATGCATGGATTTACTATATTGAGTATTTAACATGAAAGACAGATTTTTTTCTTTTGAAACTCCAATAGTAACATTTGAGTAAGTGATATGTAGCCTTCCACGTTGCTTGTTATCCAAGTGAGGGCGTTAGTGTTCTGATGACGAGTGCCACCTTTAGCCTTTAGAGATCGTTTTATGTCGCCTGTCTGCTTCTCAAGCTGGTTTTGGGATGAAACTGCTTAAGGTTGTGTGCATCTGTTTTGTTTTTTAAAATATGCTGCTATCCTCTGGAAGGAAGCGTGTTAAATGTGAGGTGAATCTCCCAAGTATTTACAATTTTTGCATTTTGGAATATTTGAAAACATGATATGCCAAAAAGAGAAATACACACGTGATACGTCTCAGTAGAACTAAAGATTCATTGCAAATAAAAAGTTATGGGGAATAAAATAATGTAGAAGTTAGTTATAAGAACTGGAACGTGCATTTCCGCTTTACTTTTCTCATGGAAGATGGGGCAAGATGGCGGCGACCTCTCGGTTACCACGTGGAAAGTGGCACACAGGAAGCGCTTGGTACTGGAAGCTGTTGCTGCTGCCATTACTTAAGGGGAGTGTTATTATTACTGTTATTATTTAAGGGGACTTAGAACTAAAATTAATATGGACCGTACTTGTTTCACTAATATCATGTGTTTATCCTTTTTTCTTTCAGGTTCTTGGTCGGGTATAAGAGCCTCTTATACTTACCAGCGGTCTTCCTGCTAAGTTCCATTTTTTGGATATTTGTGACTTGGTTCATCTTATTCTTTCCTCATATCCTTCAAGCTGAAATTTAAACGCGTATCTCATTTTGCCTTTAAACAGTAGTAATGCCAGTGTTAGAAATTTAGGTATTAGAAGACATCCAGGGAATGCAACTCCTATTTGTATTCATTTTAATTATTCTGGTTGATGATGTTTAGTGTTGAAATCTTCTCAATTCTGGAAATAATCTCAGAGCACACCATGGAAGCGGTAAGGGTCTCGTATTTATTACTCCCAGGAAAGAAACAGTAGGATGAATTATTATTTTACTTGGACCCATAAACATTTATTGTATTGCCTTGAGATACTCTCTTCAAGGTCAAATGGTTCTTTTAACTTGGTCGGCAGTTACTAAATCTTCTGGGTACCAAGATGGCCTGTATGGCAGGGGTATTCGGGGAAACATGTCCTCCTCAGCAGTCAGCGCAGTGTTGCTCTCTACAGCGGTGATTCTCACTCCACAGTAAAAACACTTTTATATTGCTACCCAAAACGTATGTGAAACAGAAAATTGATACTCCTGATGTGTGCTTTACTCTGAAATTTTATTTTATCCTATTCTATTTCCTTTTTTAAAAATGCTGGTCACAGGGGCGCCTGGGTGGCTCAGTTGGTTAAGCAACTGCCTTCGGCTCGGGTCATGATCTCAGGGTCCTGGGATGGAGCCCCGCATCGGGCTCCCTGCTTGGCGGGAAGCCTGCTTCTCCCTTCCCCACTCCCCCTGCTTGTGTTCCCTTTCTCGCTGTCTCTCTGTCAAATAAATAAATAAAATCTTTTTTTTTTAATGTTTTATTTATTTATTCATGAGAGTCAGAGAGAGAGAGAGAGAGAGGCAGAGGCAGAGGCAGAGGCAGAGGGAGAAGCAGGCTCCCCACTGAGCAGGGAGCCCGATGCAGGGCTCGATTCCCAGGACCCTGGGATCATGACCTGAGCCGAAGGCAGACGCTTAACCATCTGAGCCACTCAGGCACCCCATAAATAAAATCTTAAAAAAAAAAAAAAAATGCTGGTCACAGCCCACTTAATTCTTTCATGGCCAACTAACGGATGGCAGCCCATGGTTTCAAACAAAAAAAACTCCTCTAAGAAATAGGTTTATCACTTGAGGAGCCAGGCTCAGGCCAAGACCAGCTTAGGGGTGTATTGTGCTCTTAGGGTTGACCAAGCCTAGTCACATAGAAGTGGGGATAGGGCATACTTCTTGGTTTACAGCTATTTATATCTCCCATTAAGAGGGAGGCATTTGTCGGATTTTTATCTTCCCACCTCTTTCCAGGTTTCTCTCTCCCCTTGCAGAGACTCTAGGAAGCCATTATAACCTTGCTTTCTTTATAGGGTAGGGGAAGAAGGAATGTGGTGGATAGAAATGTACCTGTAAACATACTCCTTTAACTTGTGTTATGTCTCTTTCTGGTAATGGTATTTTTGAAAAGAAAGAATGGTGTTTGTGGGAGAGATGCATATACCCAATTCAGGAATATTTTTTTCATGGGAATCAATGTAAAGTGAGAGAGGCAGATGAGTTCTCAGAGTGCATACATTTCCTTTCATCATAGCATGTTTGTACTTCAGTGATGCTTTTTGTTTCTGAGTATTATCTCTAACATTTTCCAGATTTCTTTAATGTAAATGAATGGTGCAGCATACCATGGAGTTCATTTGACTTTTATCAAAGGTGTCATTACATATAGCCTTTGTCTCATGATTACTGATTTGGGGGCAGCTTTTTAAGCACTAGCCTTATGACCACTGCTTAATGAAGTCTTGGATGATACTATGTGATATAAAAATGCTTTATAAGTAATCATGAGTGTATAAAACAACAGCACAGTACACACCCAAAATCACCTGGAGACATCCCCAGGCTGGTAAATTCTGAGATAATTGACATGATCCTTACGGGTGGCTGGTATTTTTGTTTACCGACCCATGTGGCCGTGGAGTAAACACAGTTTTAAAATTGTGTTTCTTGATGAATTTTTAAGATTTGAGCAATTCACATTATTTCGCTTTTTGCACAAAAAGTGAGATACTGTTCATATTGAATTATTTCAACTTTGCAGAAGTAATAGCAACAAGAATGTTAACTCCACTGTAGTTTGAGAGCCTCAACTACAGAACTTAGTATTCGGGTGAGTTGCATTACAAGCAGTTCACCATTTGTGAAGATGCCATTAGTCAGAAGAATTGATTTCCAGAGCTAGACAGATTCTTACGATGTCAGAGTTGACAGGATGGGATATTTTCCTTGCATGAACAGCAGAAAGCCCTTTGATCCACGCACCCATGTGAACCTGCTGCTGGTGAGTACATACATGCCAGTAAGTAGGTGGCATACTTCTGCCGTCAGATCAGTGTTTTGAGAGCTGAATGTTAAATGCTGTTTGAACTGCTCTGGGTATGAATTGAGGTGCTACCCCGTAAAGACCCATTCTGAGTATATAGACTAATCTTGTCTCAGGTTGCAAGTCTGGATCGTGTGGGAGCTTTCCCCTCCCATAGTCCATTACGGGAAGAGTGTCTGGGGCAATGCGGAAAGAGTACCATCTTTGGAATCAGACAGAATGAGTTTGAGTTTGGTTTTTTTTCTGACTCGTCACGAACCATTGGGCACATTATTTAATTTCTCTGAGTCTCAGTTTTGCTATTAAAAAAATCCCTGAGGGATAAGAGTACCAAGTTCATGGGATGGCTACAAGGATTATTATGCTATGATGTCTGTAAAATGCTGGCCCCATTGCATAATAGGCATTTTCAAAATAATACCTATTTCATTATTAATTACTCTTATGAATAAAATCTGTGTGGAAGGCTGCATGTTGAAGTTAATTTTAAGGGAAGCTCTAGGTTGGTTCCTCAGAAGATCACTTCTTTTTGGTGCCTTTTATATGTTCAGCATTAATGTTTTTGGCTTTTCTGAGGCAGGATCAAATGGAAAAGATAGGACCTTACTGCTGCGTTTGGAGGTAAGATTAAGACTCAGAAATGGTGACGCACAGATGCTTCTGGCTTGTTGCGGAGGGAGTGACCCAGCTTCAGTTCAGGTGAAAGAGTAAGAGCTTTGACTAAAAGCCTCGTGTAGGGAGTGACCTAGCTGCCATGGAAGCCGCTGTATTCTCCAGTTGTAGTACAAGGATGTGAGTGTCCCTGCAAAGGACAACAGCAGTTGCACTGTCTCTGGCGCTGGTCAGGACAACCCTGAAGTGTGTTTGCTCTGTTTTGAATTCTGTTCTTTTGGGAGAGACAGAGACAAACAGGAGCATAACCAGAACATGACCAGGAGACTGTACTGTATAAGGAACAAGGTTGCTGCTTATCCTGGAGGTGTGAGCACTGCCCTCCAGTGTCACGTGTTCCGAAGTCTATCATTCGGAAGCCAATGCATTGTATGGAATGGACATTGAATAAAAATGTATTGAAAAATGAGGAATAGCTTCTATAGGGTAGATCTAAGGACAGCTATGGTGTAGATCTTTATTGTAGAGCTACAGGATCTATGGAATGAAAAACAGTCCCAAGTTACAGAAAGGCAAATTTCAGTTCCATATTGAGAGACTTTTTAACTGCAAAGAGTCACAAGCTAACTGGGGAGGCTGAGGTGTATATAAGGTCTAAGTACCACAGAACAAGCATCTTTAGTTTCAGGGAAGGGAAAGAATTCTCTGTAGGCAATCAAGAAAGACCTTCAAGGGGAAGTAGAATATGTTAGGTCTTGAGGGCAGTTAGGGCTTGGACATCCTCAAAGTGTGCTTCTGGAAGTAGATGGGGGCAGTGGGGAGCATTTGTGGTTAATGAACCACACAAAGGAAGGGCATGGAAGCAAGGAACATTTGGCTTTTATGTGAGGAGATAGAATGCATTCATTTTACTTGGAGAGAGAGAGGCTCCAGTGAGTCCTCCTGGGACTGGTTTTGAAAGTTATTTAGAACAGGAGCCCAGAGTTGGGTCAGCTCAGTATGCTGAATCATATGATTCAGCTGAACGTATTTTTGAGGATGTGTCATGTGTGTTGATCAAGATTCTATGGGAAGAAGGCAGGATGTGTTTCTTTAAAGGTCTTGACTTACGTACTCTATAACAATAGTGTTCTTAATTCATTCTAAGTAAGCTTTATTTGTTGCAATTCCATTTCACACAACTCTTCTAGATCCTCTTCCTTTCTTTTTTTTTTTTTAAATTTGACAGAGAGAGACAGCGAGAGAGGGAACACCAGCAGGGGGAGTGGGAGAGGGAGAAGCAGGCTTCCCGCCGAGCACGGAGCCCGATGTGGGGCTCGACCCCAGGACCCCGGGATCATGACCTGAGCCGAAGGCTGGCGCTTAACGACTGAGCCACCCAGGCACCCTGATCCTATCTCTTTCTTAAAGCCAGGCCCTTCTGCAGACAAACTGATAAATTTAACCAGCAATGTTTGCTCCTGCCTACCTGAACCAAATGTTCTGGTTGCTGCTGCTGGTGGTTTTTGTGGGTTGGAGCAGTGCTTCTTGAACTGTAATGTGCATGTGGATCCCCTAAGGATCTTGTTAAAATCCAGAGTCTGGTTACAGATCTGGGGTGAGGTCTAAAGTTCTGCCTTTCTAATAAGCTCCCAGGTAAAGCCATTGCTGTGGGTCCACGGACCACACTTTAAATAGCAAGGGTTTAGAGGCTCTTTATGGCCATCTTTTCAACTCCACAGTTTGGCACAAGACAGCTTGAGGGGCGCCTAGGGGGGCTCAGTCGGTTTAGCATCTGCCTTCAGCTCAGGTCATAGTCTCAGGGTCCTGGGATCGAGCTCCACGTCAGGCTCCCTGCTCACCCGGGAGTCTATTTCTCCCTCTCCTTCTGCCCTCTACCCCCCACCCCACTTGTGCTCACTCACTTTCTCTCCCCTTAAATAAATAAATAAATAAAATCTTAAAAAAAAAAAAGATAATACCTTGGAAGGCAGATACAGTTACCGTGTCGATACTGATTTAAATTGGGCAAGGAGAATTGGTTTACTAGTGGTGTATTGGCTTATTACTTATAGTGCACCTTCATTTATCTTTCCCTAGAGCAAAATTTTACTTTTTATACAAAATTTATACCATTTCAAAATGGGCAATGTTTATCCTTGAAATCCTTTTTATCTTGTGTCTGTAATATGTTCCTTTCCCAAAATAGTATTTGATTTATAATTACTTTGCAAAGAGAGCAATTTTTTTGTGTATTTCTAAATTAATACAGCCTAATACATGACAAGGATTCGTTATTAAACTTTCCATTAGGAAATTTTTGCAAGCATTTATCTAATGTATAAAGAAATATTTTCAGTTGGAATCTCTGAATCAAGTGGTTTGTTTCTTTGAATGATTTTTTTTAAATGATCAATAAATACTCTTTTCGATGCTTACAGGAGAGCTGTAGTTACATCATGAGGGATTAATTTATTTGGATCTGGAATGTTTTTCAGTCCTCAGGATGTTCCTCATACATTGCAACTATTCCTATCAATATTTCATGAGTTTTATCTAATCGGGGGGGATTAATTATTAGCAACTGTGAGCAAATTCCTGTAGGATTAGAACATAGGATGGGGCCAGGCTTGGGGGCAGGGATGTGTATACATAACAGAAAGTGAGGATATAATGCAGAGAGATTCTCAGGCACCAATGATGAAATTTGCTTAGGTCATAATTACACCGTTCTTGGTGGAAGTTGATACATTCCTTAACGTGGCTCTCACATCTAGCAGGCACCCCTTTCTATTTTGCTTTCCTTCTCAGCATAATAGGCTTCCTCTACTTTTTCTATAAGACTTGGGCAACAGATCCAGGCTTCACCAAAGCTTCTGAAGAAGAAAGGAAAATGGTGAGCTTTCTTTATAATGTTACTTTTTTTTTTTTTTTTAAATAAGGAGGTCATAGCAATGTTGGTGTTTGTCATGGCTGCATCTCTCATGTCTGGCGCATAATAGATGCAACATACATCAAAAAGTTGAGATTTCTCCACTGTCATGCTTTCGTTTGTTTATGTAAAAATTTTTTTAAATATTTTTATTTTCTCTTAAGGTCATACCCACCAAGACTTTTTCAAACGTAATTTCTGTTAGCAAACATGATCTCGATTTCTTCATAGTAATGCTGAGATAATGATCATTTAGCTTAAGTTCCCCCAGTTTAATACATGGAGAGTAAGCAGGCAGGGGCAAGGGAGGAGTCCTTATTGACAAGAGATGCCCTTCTCTTCCTCAGATGTGAAGCTGTCAGTTGCCATGCATGGCTTCCTTCGCTTGTGAATGTTTAGAAGTTGGGGAGAGTATGGATGTCTGTGTTACTTCTAGCCAGTGTTCCTGAGAGACAAGCCCATGGTGCTTATAACCATCAGTTCTGGTGTCTACTGATGGGTTTGGTTTTGTTTTTTTATGAGTGTATATGTGTGTATGTATTTTTCTCTAGCAGATTATAACTGGGAGATGCTAGCCCTTCAACGGAGCGAAGGGGAGGTGTAATTTTTGTGCATTCTAATTTATTGGCTTTGGTTGAAAATGCAGCCTTGAAAAGTCAACATTATTTTCGGGTACAGGATGATTTGGTGGCAAGTATTCCACATTGCTTTTCTGGCTACCTGAGTTTGGAGAGAGAGCTGTGAGAATGGTATATAACCATGCATTATACATTCCCTTGTAAAACGTAATCATAAGGTCAAATTTCATGCCTTTCAGAATATCATCACCCTTGCAGAGACTGGCTGTCTGGACTTCAGAACATTTTGTACATCCTGTCTTGTGAGTCTTTTTTTCCCGTAGTAAGAAAGCAAATTCTTGGTAACATTTCTCATGTAAGCCTTTGTTAAATCTTCATGGTATATTTGTACACCTTCGTTTTTACCAGGTTCTAATTTTGTATTACTATCAGAATAGTTTTCTGCCTTGAGCGTATGAGGGAATGATGTTTATAGTTTCTTGAAGTTGCCCATGGTTAAATCTCTCTGAATGATCCATAGTGTGTTTTGATTGCTTTTTCCCGCCATGAAGCATGTATTAGAACTAACTTCAAGTCAGAGGCTCACGATGACCCTAGAAACCACTTAGTGAAACCTCTCATTTTGCAATCGAGGAATCAAGGCCTAGAGGGAGGAGGTAACTTCCCTCAAATTATTGGCAGAGCCAGAAATGTAACTTGGGTTTCCTTTTTCCTTTTTCTTAATCCAGTGCTCATTCTGCCGCCTGGTACTGCCTCACTTCCCCTTCGTCAGTGTGAATAGGCTCTGGAAGTCAAATCCCTTTTAGTGAAGGCCTAATCAAAATAGATATTTGGAAGTAAATATTAATAAGGCATTCCAGAGCCTCTGTGTGAACTGATAATCTATTTAGGATTATTTGTGCCCATGTCTTTATGACTTAGGAGTACGATTTTGCTTGTGATTTGTTACCACTTTAAGACACTAATTTTTGCTTAGACCTGTCTTAATTGCCCACTTAGATAAGGAAGCCATTAAGGTCACTTCATTGCCACGTGTGTAACTCCTGTGTCGCTCGATATGATCAGCATTGTCTGTGGACTGGACGGTGCATAGGTGAGAGATTGAATTTTTTTAGTTAACACTATGAGGTTAAGCATATATTTAGCTATGTGTGTGATTCATAGAAAAAATGGAAGGGCATCTAAGGGGTCCATTTTATAGCTCTTCCTTATCTGAGAATCTTTTCACGGTTTAACACTTTTGGAAAACTGTCAGTGTTGATAATAATGAATGTGATTTGTATAGTATTTTAGAGTTTATAAAGCAGTTTTGAATATAGTATCCTATTTGATCATCAGGGCACACCTTTGAGTTGGTATTACTAGCTCCATTTTAGAGGTGAAAAAATATAAAAGGTAAATTATTTGCTTGAGGTTATTTTAGTAATCCCAGTCTTCTATACCAAATTACCAGCTTCTTGCCATGTTTTGTGACTTGTCTCTCTCATTTACTACTCCACTTGCCTCCTTCAAAGCTCAGGTAGGAGTCAGAACCAGAGATGATGGGGAGTATTCCTTGTCCTGGTCTATAGTCCTGAGTTTCCTCTGAGTGGTCACTGTAAAAACCAGGGGTTTATTATGAGGAACTGCAGAGGAACTATGGTCATTTGTCTTCAGCAGAGGAAGTGCTTTCAAAAAATCTTGAACAAAAGGCTGCTTCACAGTCGGGTTTCTTTGGTACATTTTGATGTTCTCTACTATTCCTAGAGAGTAGGTGAAGAGGTAATTCTTACGGCCCCAAGCTTCATTGACCCCATCCCACTGTAAAGATGGGATGGTTAGCATTATAGCAGGCAGCTTTGAATGGAAGTGGAAAAGCAACAGTAATGAGTCCATATCTATTTGCTGCTCTTCAGATTCATTTTCTCTATTCCCCTGATCAGGTGGATCCTTGATGTTCCAAAATTGTACTTCTTAAACTCGCTACATGGAAGGAAGAGATAGGGTATGGTTTGCCCAAAGTCCTGCTTTCTCACCTTCCCCCAGTGCAGTTATAGGCCATCGTAGAGCTGCATGTGTCTAGTAAATCTTGTTCTGTCCAAAAAACGATGTCTTTTAGGTAAGCAACGAATAAATATTAGACCCCAATTGACCCTGACATACTAGAGCTGTTTGGTTTTGATGTAGTGGTATTTAAAGGCAAAGCATAAGCTTATTTATTTTTTACTTTGGTGAAGGCTTTTGACAGGAAAGTGGTTAATAAGGTCTTGATCTGGAAAATCATTGTAAGAAAGTATTAAATATGTTTTTTCTTTTTGATGTAGGTTTTGGCAACCATCGCTATTACATATTCTTCTTATTTTTCCTTTCCATCGTTTGTGATTGGATTATATATGAATCTTTCATCTGTAAGTATAAATTTTTCTTACAGCAAGCTCATGAACCCATACCCACATGCACTTTTCTTAGTAAATTCTTGTATATCACATTCTGACTGGGTGACGATAAACCATACCCCTAATTAAAATGAAACGGCTGCCTCTAAGACTCAGCATTGGGAAGCTGCAAGAAATGCTCACAGAAATTAGTTGTTAGCACTTGGCAAGAGATTGTACCTCACCTTGATGAATTTGAGAAGTGGTCAATAATACAAATTCATTCAAGGCAGAGTGTAGATTTATCACCTAGTGAAGTGAGGAAAAATTAGCTGCTCAGGAACAAAGCTAGGGAAGTGAGAAGTAAAAAAAATAGGAAAAAGAACAGGTTGGCAGTGGAGAGGTTAAGGGTGGGAGGAAGTGATCACAGGAGAGAAGGAACAAAAGCCTGAACATCCATGCCATTTGATAAATGTTGTCACAGGGCTAATGGGACAACTAATAGTCGTTGAAAGTTCGGAAGTAATGTCTTGGAAGAAAACCTTAGACCATTTATTCTGCATCCCTGAGAAGGGAAAATAACTTCTCAGTAGCAGCGTGAACAGGCATGTAGGGGGCTCATGTAGGGAGTGATATCCAGCTGTTCCAAGGTGATTGACCAAGCAAGAAGGATTTGGGTTAGCTCTTAACAACTGCATGGCTATGCTTCGCAAACCTAACTGGGAAAACCCATAGCACGTGTAGTTTATTTTGGCCTTAACTGTTTATTATTTGTTTATTTTGAAGGCTCTGGGAGAATCTGCCCTCACTACAAATCTGTTTCTACCCACCTGAGTTATATACATGCTCAGGTCTTAGATTTTGCCAGTAGTATACTAGTTTATATCCTGAGCTAAAATGTGGAACGATTCAGGAAGATGTTAGGAACGTTTTTTTCTACTTTATTTTCTTTTTCCCTTAGCATCCTAAGTACCACCCCTCCCTGCCTTCCCCGGCCCCCAGCTTTCTTTCGTTTAAATTTTGTTTAGTTTTTGAAAATAAATCCTCCTACTCTGTCCCTAAGCCTCCCAGTTCCCCTCCCCAGAAACATCCAGTATTACAAGTTTTGGTTTGTTTGGGGTTTCATTTTTAAAGATGCTTAATATCTATGTGAACTGGTTTCTTTTTCACCCTGCCATAGGCATGGAGAGGGCTTCAGTTACCTTGTCAGCCCCTTTCTTGTCTGACACCTTGGGTGTCTGTGATCAGTAGGGAATGCTTTTGTAAGCTCAATGTGACCGTCACTATCTCAAATGGATCTAATAGTCAGAAGGTTGAGATCCCTGATCTCCTTTCTTGTCAAAGGCCATCCGTACTCCTGAGCATTGGAATTCAAAAACCTTAAATTATGTCCTGTGGTGTAAGAAATAAAAGATTTCTTGACAGTTCTATTGAAAGAACTGCCCTTTTAAGGCCTAACAATAAAACATATTCCTGGAAAACCTTTTTAAGCTGGCCCATGGACCATCTTGTCCCTTGGACTTGATCCTAAGGGAGAGGAGCCAGATTTTACACCGCTCTTGTCTCTCCCGCTTCTCTCTTCACTAAAAATAGTCACCTTTGTTTGGTGTCCGTGTCCAGCATAAGACTGTATTGATAAGGACAGAAGTAATTTTCCATCACTTCCATTCTTTCCAAGTTGCTTTCTTATTACATGCATTGGTTCTTCCCTCTTGTCTTTATTCTCTGGCTCTGATCCAATGTTTATATTTTGTTTCTTAGGAATGGTCCCACTTTATATTCACTTGCAACCCTGTAGACTAGCTGAACGCATTTGGTTATTTTTATCCCATTTGTATTCCGACAGTATTTCTTTACACTAAATGAGGACATTGTGTCATTTATCATTACCTCACGGATGGAAAAAGTGAACTTGTGCTTCATTTTTCTAAGGAGGTCTCACTGTCATCCCACCGTCGTGGTTTCCCAGGGACATTCCTGTTGCTGGAGCCCTGACGGGCGCACTCCTCGCTTGTGAGTCAGTGACAGCTACTTCTGGCTCTGTGTAGCCTCCATCTGTTCCATCTTCTGTGAGGTCTGCTTACAGGGTGGACACTCAGAAAGTGTCAGCCTCCTACAAGTTACAGGGAGAAAGATTTTAGATTGTTGTTAGAAAGAACATTATAACTGTCAGAGCTTTCTAAAGAGGAAAACGATCGGCTTGGAACAGTAGGAGTCCCCTGTCATTAGCCAGTGACAGGAATGTATTATTAGCAAATATGAAAGTTTTATATTGCATAAGATAATGTATGTGGCCATTTTTTGCCATATCTTTGACATTAAGTCTGAAATCAGCCCTATGAAAATTTCAGTTTGAGGTCATGGTGTATTATCAAAAAAGTTCCCAGAAGAGAGCAGTAGAAATCTATAAGCTGGAAGAAAGTAGATATTCTTTCCCATGTAGCAGCTGTTTCCTCTACCTTCTGTTGGGAATTATATTCTTTTTTTGTCATGTCAGGTGCATGGGATGCATCTTTTTCTGCTGTCCTAACGAGAAACTCTAAAGAGAGCATAATTTGCCTTAACTTGTTGCCTTGATTACTACTCTGTGATGATTGTCCTTAGAATGCTTCTGACATATAGTCATGACAGATGGTTAGGAACCAAAGGAGACTTAAAAGGGGGGAAAAATAGATTTTTAAGACTAAAATGGACAGACAGGTGATAGTAGTCAGGGACTCATGTTCTTTCTGTCCTAGGAGTTCTTAAGTGCTGCTTTGGGAAGATGTCTGAAGCTACTTGTCAGATTGTGAGAGGCATTAATGAAACCTCAAGGTGCAAATTTACAGAGTTCTTATTTCAAAAATAATTTGCCCTTTGTAAATGGTCATGGTACTACAAAAGTCATTGGCTTCACAAAACCTTGAAGATTTGTTCCCTTGTTCCTGCTCTACCTACCTGCATTCTCCTTACTGCTACTCTTAGCTGCATGGCTTAGGGGGTCACGAAGGCCATAGTGAAGTCCTCTCTTTTCCTAGGGTGTCTCTGTCATGATTCCCTTACCTGAACTTTCTCTACAGGATAAATCATGGTGCTGTTGCAGAAATACACCCAATAACCACGTGCTGTTAGGTCGTGTTCCAATGGTATCTGGGTGCTTACAGGATTTCTTGTGTCTACAGCAGTGGCCTGTTGATCTGAACCCTTAATAAGAGTTTATTCTGTGCTATAACAGACTCATCTCTTGCTGTGTATCCTGGATAAGATAAAGGGTTTTCTAAGCAGATATTTATTAAATACAGCTATTCTCCATTATCAAGTCCTTGAACGGTTAACCTTGGGCCAGGTTATTTTATGCTGAATAGGATGGTTTTAGTGGTGGTCTTACGGACCTTTTTTGCTTTTATTCCTTTACTGCCAACCACCAGTGCAATGCTATCATGGCCTTCACGAGCAGTGAAGTACCATTTTTTTCATCTTTGTTAGTTAAGCTGACATTTGGAAGATAAATTCTTAAAGTTGGGTTCTAGTCTGTGTTACCATGTCTTAACTTTCTCTTCTGCCTGAATAGAAGAGCAATGATTTTATCTTCTTGAAGAATGATCACTAGTTTGTTGCCTTTTTAAATAATGAGTTCCTTTTTTTGTGAATTCACAGATTGGTCAAATCATTGTGCCACAACATTCAGAGAAGATGGACTATGGACCTACCTCAATCAGATTGTGGCCTGTTCCCCTTGGATTTTATATATCTTCATGCTGGCAGCTTTCCATTTCTCTTGGTCAACATTTTTATTATTAAATCAACTCTTTCAGGTATTTATTTCTCTTCTTATAATGCTTTTGAGTAAAATTTCCAGTTAGCCTGTAACAAGGTAGAAAAGAGACTTGACTTTTAAATCAGAAGGCTTTCGGGTCTTGGTTCCACCTGTCGATTACTCTCTGGGTATAGGCATGTCATTTGACTCTTGAATTTCAATTTCCTTGTCTGTAATATGGAGTTGATAAGTCTACACTCACAGGATCGTGTAAAGGTTGGAATAATAAGTTGTTATCTTGTGCCTAGGAATGATCTAATCTGACCTTTTTATTTTACGGATAGAGTTACAGAGAGGTTGAATTGAATTGCTCAGGATCACTCAGTGAGTAGAGAAGTCAGAACTAGAAACTTAGGTCTTCTGACAGCCTATTCAAAGGCTTTTCTCATCATACAATTAAATCATAAGGTGTGTGAAAACATGATATAAAATACAAAAAGCGTTGTGAGATGCTTTTAAAGACATTTGTGAGATGATTATCTTCCCTCATTTTTTCCAACCCTGTTTATATCCCATTTATTATGCAGTGCTTAAGTGGATAGAAGGGGGGAAGAAATGCAAGATCCATCACCAACCAGTAGACGTGGTAATTACACTTCCAGAGAAGGTCACGGCCATTAGAGAGTTCACGCTCCAGGGCAGTAGCCACATTCAGCTTCCTATGAAGCTCTGTCCTTTCCCTGCTGCTTTTCTTCCTCTATGAGCGTAACCTAATTCTTGTTGTTGCTATGGCCTGCCCTCGTGGAATGGACAGCCGTGATCAGTCTGAGCCCATTACTGTAAGACCTCAGATAATTAGAGCATTACTCATCGAAAGCAAAATGCATTCCACTTTTACAGGGAAGTAACCAATTCTACAATAATAATAATAATAATAATAATTAATAAATAAAGACAGACAAAGGAAAAAATGCCAAGGAAAGGAATGAAACTGGTAACACTGAACCGAGGCCTCTGAATGTTCATCTTCATCTCCTGCCCCTCTGGTATCTACAGACTCAGGCACGAAGAATGAATATTAGCATCACTGATTGTTAATATCTTATAATACCTAATATTTATATAGGCTTTACATATCCCAAAGCACTTTCCTATCTATTTGCTGACAAACAGTTAAGGCATAGACTGTGCTAAAGCAGTGTCTCCATTTTATAGATGAGAAAACTAAGCCTATGAGAGTTTGAGTGCCTTGTTTTGGCCACGTGGCTGGTGAGAGGTGGAATTAGAAGTAGAACCAAAGATTTGAGACCTCCATTCTAATTCTCTTCCTTCTTTTCTGGACTCTTAGGACAAGTACAGATACATATGAGACTATAATATCAACTTTTTAAAAGAAAGCTTAATGTTTCTTATACTTTCTAAGGCAAGAAAATGGACTCAAAGTTTTGGATAGTTTTCTAATACAGGAATTCAGGGTAAAGTTGTTTTCTTAATAAAACAATTCAGTTGTTTGAAGCCTTTCATTTGCTGACTGCTCTAGTGAGTCATGGGTTTGACTGTAGCAAGTCAAACGGAGCATAGACTGGTCAGGACCATGAACTTTATTCTCACACTGACTGAGGCGTCCGTCTCAGTTCTGCCACTTTCTAAGCTGTTGTGTGACCTTGGACCAGTTACTTCACCTCTGGAAGCCTCTGCACTGGCTATTTTAAATATATTATGTCAAATCCTTCAACAGTCTGATGAGGGAGGATGGTGTGATAATCTCTGTTTCATGGATAAGGACCTTGATGTTTGAGTTATTTTGAGGATTAAATGGAGTAATTCAGTGAATAGTAGGGTTTTAATGATTTGGGGGTTTTTAAGTTACCTTAACTCTTACCCTTCCCCAGATTATGGATTTAAATGTCCTTCACTTCAGATTAACTTTTTCAATTGGCCCTTTCCAAAGAGATGCTAAGAAGCATACGCAAGGTGAGATAATTGCAGTAATATTGACCTTATATAGTTTTATTCATCTAAAACTTACATGCTGCATGTGTTGAGAATCTAAACAGGCTTCTAAGCCATGACTTGAATTACTAAAGCAATTATTTCATGACTGTGCTTTGTTGAAGGTTAATAAAAACAGACACTCAAAAAAATAAATGCTTAAGGGCGCCTGGCTGGCTCAGTCGGAAGAGCATCGGACTCTTAATCTTGGGGTTGTGAGTTTGAGCCCCACGTTGGGTGTAGAGATTACTGCAAAGTAAATAAACTTTTAAAAAAATGATCAGCTGCTAGATTTACGTAGTCTCATTTAGAGCTGTTGAGTCGTTATCCTTACCATGATCCTTGGTTAGACAGAAGGCTAGGTTATACTGTCTTCGGAGGAGTACTGAATGTTTACCACTGTCCTGTGATGCACTACGAGTGACAGAACCTCAGTATAATGGTATTTTTCATGTACCTTCCAACCTTCTTTTGCAGATTGCTTTTCTGGGCCTGACCTCCCACGAAAGAACCAGCCTGCTGAAGCAGAGCAGGCATATGAAACAGACATTGTCCCTCAGGAGGACCCCATACAAGTAAGTCAGATCTGTTTTGGCCACTGTGTCCTGTGGAGGATGCTAGTCTAGCCATTGGTTTCCCAGCCTACTGCCACCACTCAGGCTGTGCTGCTCTCCTCTAATTTGCTGTCTGGTGGAGTTGACTCTTCTTTCTTGGAAGCCTCAGTCACAGGTAGTGAGTGGTAAGGTCATGAGCCCCAAGGTGGTTAAGAATTTGGGACTTAGTCTGCTGGACTCAGCACCGATAGTTAAGTGACTTTGAAGTTTTGCCAAGATGGGGAATCTCTCTAGTCAAGCCACATGGTCACAAGATTGCATGTTGCTGGCATGAAGTCAGTGTGAGATAACCAAGCATGTGGCTGAGAATTCCAGCCACAAGGCTCTCTGCAGAAAGCATTAGATTGTGAGCTTTGCCAAGATTTTCCACCTGCCTTTCTATCACTAGTAATTCTTTTAGCCCCGTGTTTAATGTGCCCATCTGTGTCAGGGAGAACCTAGTGCTTCGGGTTTGGGGTGTGGTTGCTGCAGGGCATCGGTTGTATAAAACCTGTTCTCAGTTGAAAATGGGAGTGTTTGTAGGAAGGCTGTCATCTTATGATATGAACTATGAATGATCGGGCTTTGAAGCTTATCTCCCTGTCCTACATATCGGGGTCTTGGAGGCTGGGAGTGCTACAGAGGTCACCCTGAGCCCTCAGGGGATTTAACGCTCACTTGCATATCTCTTGAGTAGTCTATTTTAAAGCACACTCATGGTACAAGATGAAACTGTTAGGCTGTTAGACAAGGAAATCAGAGCCTGGGGTAGGACTATGATCTGTGTTTAGAGAGGAGAGGAATTGACTTAATTGGGAAGAGATGGCTAAGGTGATGGAGGTTGGCTGGTGGTGCTGAGCTTGTGATGACTGGTTCAGACTGGCAAGGATAAAACCCTTTCCCAGTAGTTTAACCAGAGGAATAAGGATGAAAGCCTTTGTGACCGAGGTGGAATTTTCAGCTGAGCCTTGAAAGCTGTGGGATGGGGCCTGACGGAGAAGGACAGAAGAGTATTTCAAGCCCTAAGGAGCCCGAAAGAAGGGCCTGAGCTGAGAGAACTGGGGCATGTTTGGGAATTACTAAGTAAGGGCAACATACCCTGGAGGAACTAGCAGGAAAGCCTTAGAGCTCCCTTGCATCTCGCTTCCACAAACCTGCCCAAATTGAAGATTTGTCTTGTCTGTCTTACCCTAAGTTACTTGCACTCACTAACTAGCTCTGGAGGAGTGTTGATGGTACTTTCCTGACAACTGTCCCCACAGCAGCAATGGCATAGTCCTCCTCACGCACAGATATGTTTGAATGCATATGGGGGTTGGTTTTGATAAGGTTTTTGGAGGACCAGACAGTATCCAATTGATAAGATTAATTGGAAGGAGCTCCTTCCTTTTGCCTGGAACCACCATCTTCCAGTAATTCGCCAAAATGACCAGCACCAAGGGAAAGAGGAGAGGTACCCACTGTATGTTCTCTAGGCCTTTTAGAAAACATGGAGTTGTTCCTTTGGCCACATATATGCGAATCTACAAGAAAGGTGATATTGTAGACATCAAGGGAATGGGCACCGTTCAGAAAACAACGCCCCACAAGTGTTACCGTGGCAGAAGTGCAAGAGTCTACAGTGTCACCCAGCATGCTGTTGTCGTAAACACACAAGGGCAAGATTCTTGCCAAGAGAACTAATGTACATATTGAGCTTATTAAGCACTCAAAGAGCTGAGGTAGCTTCCTGAAGCATGTGAAGGAAAATGATCAGAAAAAGAAGGAAGCCAAGGAGAAAGGTACTTGGGTCCAACTGAAGGGCCAGCCTGCTCCACCCAGAGAAGTGCTGCACTTTGTGAGAACCAGTGGAAAGGAGCCTGAGCTGCTGGAACCCATTCCCTCTGAATTCATGGTATGATAGGTCTAAAAAAAGACAAAAGACCCCGAGACTATAAAAAATCAGTCGATCGATCAATCAATCAGTCATTGGAAGGCATTGAGACAGGGCCATGTTTTACTTAGGAAGTTTAGGAAAAAACCCACTTTGTTGACTATAATGTTTCTGGCCTTTCTGGCCTTTGAGATCATCAAAATGCGAATCAGTGCAAAGGGAATGGAAAGAAGGACACTTATTGATGGCAGTCACCGTTCCAGTGACTGGGGGACTCAGAAGGGAAATTAAGTTGCTGGGCAGAAGCCAGGGAATCTCGAAATAGGGATTCAGGTCCAGAAATGGAACTGGGCTTCAGTTTTAATGTCCTCTAAGCCGGGGAACTGTCTGATTCACCTCTGGATTCCTGCTACAGGATCTTCAAAGGATGTTGTATGTTATAAATTCTCAGTGAATGTTTCTGGTCTGAATGAATGTTCAAACAGGAAATGTAGTAAGATGTGTTCTCTTCCTTCCTTGGCAGCCTTGGGCTCACACAGAACCTCGCAGATTTCTTTCAGTGTGGCTGCTTCGGCTTGGTGAAGCCCTGTGCCGTGGATTGGACGTCACAATACACCATGGTCTTCCACCCAGCGAAGGAGAAGGTCCTTCGCTCCGTATGAAGAAAAGCAACCCCAGACTCTCCCTCTGACCTGCTTGCGTTTATGTTGATGCCCTGTGGTCTGCAAGTGAAGTGAACATTCAGAGTTCACCTAAGCCCAAAGGAAAATGCAGGTGGTTTTTAAAGCTATTTGGTAAAAACAAGTTCTCAATAAAGGCATTACAGTTTTAGATTTAGCAAGATGGACTGTTCCTGAACAATCTTGCCAGACATCTAAAGAAACTTATATTTTTCACAAGAAAATACAAGTTACATTTTTTTTGGAGATAATATTCACTAATTATGGATAAAATGTGGTATTTTCAAATAGTTTATTGGTTTCAAAATAGTACTATTCTTTAAACTTGTAATTTTTGATAAATTATTTGTGTTTGTTTTATCTATAAATATGTAAAAAATATTTAAATAGATGTATCTGTTTTGCTTTCACACTTAATAAATTTTTTTTTTGTAGTTGAGATTTCATTTCTGACACTTAACACTTTTAGAATCTTAAATTGAGAAAAGGTGTATATAGGACATAAACTGATTCGTGATTCCAGGAATGAGTTGAGCTCTCTGTTAACACCAGTAAGCAAGATTTAATTTAGTTTTCCATCTTAGAAAATTGAACAGAGGAAATCTTAAAGATTAATTACTGTTTTTACTTAGTACCCTCAAAACATTGGACTGATGTGATTGTAATTGCTAATTTCCCTACAAATTCAACTTTAACTCTTGGTATTGTATATAAATGCCCCTGGGCACGGCCCCTTCCTGCTGAAAACCATTCCTTATGGTTCCGTTGCTCTTGGGGTAAAGGCTAAAATTCTCATCATGACCCCCAAGGCCTTGAATAATATAACCTTATTTTGTTTACCAGTCTTACTCTGGACCACGCTTTGTATTGGAACCACATTGACCTTTCAGTTTTTCAAGGATCCATTCTTTCCTCTACAGAGCCTTTGCAAATAAGGAAACTAAAGCCTAAAGAAGTTCCTGTCTTCTCCAAGGTCACTTAGACACTAAATGGGGTTGCAGCTCTAGGAGTGCTGGTCACCTTGAATACTGTCCAACGCTCTGTATGTGTTCAGTAAACATTTAAATTCGTTGAATGAATGAATGGTTTTTAAGCAGGATGTGATGTGATCGTAATTGTTTGAAGACTGATTCTCTACTGGGGGACAGAAGGACTTTCTCAAGCTATATTCTTTCCCTTTCTCTCTCTTCGGACTCTACCAAGTATGTATTCTCAAATTGTGGTCCATACACCATTTAATCAGAATTACAGGGATGGGACAGGGGCTCACTTGTTTAAAATTCAAATACCCCGCCTCACACCTTCCAAACGACTATATTCTAGCACTTCTAATTGACATGTAATAAGGAAAGCACATTTCATTAATTTAAATTATTCCATAGATATTTATTGAACACCATGATAGGTCTTTCAGGCCATAAAACATTTAATTGGGCACACTAATCACAGAGCTTGCAGTCTAGAGGGAAAGCTAAGATAAATGAGCCTATAGTATAATGTAGAAAATATTAAAAGCCATAAGAGGGGTACAAATAAAATATTGTTAGAGTTTAGAGGTTGGAGAGAGCCTCAGTGGATGTGATCAAGTGTTTATGGACGGTAAGGCATTAGAAACGGTCTTTCAGTGATACTTAGTTTGGAAATATGGAGTTGGAAGTGAAAGGCATTCTCATGGAGAGAACTCCACAAGTGAAGACAATGGGAGAGTCTGAAGTGTAGTTAGAACCATGACGGGCTGGGTCTATAGGGTGTTTAAAGTGGGGAGCATGGTCAGTAAATTGGACTGTTGATTGGGACTAGATCTCCAGGAGCCTTGAATGTTAAGCTAAGGAGCTGTATTTAAGTGAGCAATAAGGAGCTATTTCTTTACTCACTTGTCAGTAAAAAGTCCTCTTATATCCTCTTGTCTGCTCTCACCAACCCCTGCCAAGTAATTACTCTCAAATTGGGGTCCACAGACCATTTACATCAGAATAACAGGCCTGGGATAATGATGGGGGTGGTGTCTGGGGATCACTTGTTTAAAATTCAAATTCCTAGGATGCCTGGGTGGCTCATTTGGTTAAGTGGCTGCCTTCAGCTCAGGTCATGATCCCGGGGTCCTGGGATCAAGCCCTGTGTCGGGGCTCCCTGCTCAGCAGGGAACCTGCTTCTTCCTCTGCCTGCCGCTCCCCCTGCTTGTCTGACAAATAAAATCTTTAAAAAAATAAAATTCAGATTCCTCTTCTCAGACCTTCCAGAGGTCTGAGGAGTAAGTCTTGGAATCTCAGTTTTTATCAGGTTCCCCAAATGATTCTTACATTTACATGATACCGTTTGGGAATCATTTACGTAAGGACTCTTACCCCACCATTCCATTGTGGCTTTTCCTCAGGCATACGTTCGTGGGAGAGTTTTAAGAAAAAAAAGTTTGAGAGTCGGTGTTTTATAGCTAGGCATCCTGGGTTTGAGTCCTGGATCTGCCAATTATAAGTGTCTTTTACCCCTGAACAAATGACTTACCTCTATAATGCTCTAGTTTCCTCATTTGTATCATGTGGATAATAATAGTAGATACCTCCAAATGTTGTGATGAGGATTAAATGTGTTAACAACCTAGAAAGTGCTTAGAATTCTACTTGGCACATAATAAATGCTCAATAAATGCTATTAATTCAGGAATCTTTGGAAAATTGACTAGAGGTAAGGAAATGTGCCATATTCACCCTTCCATACTCTGTGTTCTGTGTTTGGGGACTACGATTCTCAAAACTACAGTTTTCCTTGTCAGCTTATTTTCCGTTAAGTTCGGCCAGTAGAGGAGGAGGAGGGGAGAAGAGACTTCCTTCCACTCTTCTTAGCAGCAAGTCCTCTCAGTGTGGTTCCCGCGGGGGCCCTTCACCCTGATGGTGACAGTTGGAATCTGTCTAGCTTTTCTCCTGCGTTCCCCAAACCACCTCCGTTGTTGTCCCTTAGAATCCCCAGCAGGACCCAGGTAGGGCTGTCTGCTGGGAGGTCTGGCTCATAGCCCTGGGATACCTGGCCTGGAGGCATCTGAATTAGGGCGCTCCTATCTCCTCTTTGTCGGGGCTGCTTCCCCACAGGTCCCATCTCTGTGCTAAATCAGTGTGCTTCTCTTTACTTTTTGAAAAAGATTAGCACCTGCTTCGTCAGTTCCCTCTATTATTTTCTCTCTGTTAAAAAACACAAAACAAAACAAAAAGCCTAGTGTGGTCTCTGTTTTTCTGACTGGACCCTGACAGATCTAGAATGTTAGAGATAAGCTTTTAATAACATTCTAGGCAAGAAGTGATGAAGGTGCAGATTACTGATTGAATGTGGGGGGAAGGGAAGGGAGAGTCCAAGATGACTTGGAACCCAGTGAATGAGAAGGTGGCAGTGCTCTTCTGAGAAGTAAAGAAAGCCATGGAGAGTTTGGTGGTTGGGGGCTACGGAATTTGAGGTATCGCAGGCTGCGCGGTGGAAAAGTCTGGAAGGCAGCTGTAAAGAGACCGGGGCATGGATGGGAGTCATGAACACAGATGGATGAGGTTGTCACAGGAAAGAGGTAGAAAAATGAGATGCAAATGAAATGGGGAGTTGCCCACCTGGAGTGGGAAGATCAATTCTAGAAAGAGACCAAAGATGACAACTCATGCAAACAAAGAAAATATGAGGGGGTGGGGGCAGGGAGCAGGAACACGACCTTACAGAATATGGATTTAGGGAGCTGGAGATGAGGAGGGACCAGCGGGGAGGAGAGAGTACCGTGGCATAGAATTCAAGAAGAATTCAAAGAGGAAGGAGTCACTCGTCAGGAGCTGAGGAGAGGACAACTGAAGAAAGATGGGCGTTGTGGCTAGGAGGGTAGTGGCGGGCTCCGTGGAGCCGTGGCGGTGGGGGAGTGGGGTGGGCAGCAGGGAGGGCACTTGGAAGCCTGATGCGCAGGCAGTAAGGACCAGATGGAGCAGAGTCCTACGGCTTGGCTTTGAGAGGAGCAGGGAGAAGGCGGAAGCTTAGGGGCGAAGTGGCCAGGTTTGGGCTTGTTTGGTTTGTCGGGGCCAGGGGATTGGGACTCTTACCCTGCAATGCCAGAACTTCATTCCTTTCCCCAAATATCTGTGTAGTTCTATCGGAGATTGCATTTGAATCCCTTCCACAATTATTAGCATCCTGAGGATGCTGCCTGTGACTTAGCAGACAGGCTGTACACCGAGCAGTGAGAAGTGGAATATCTTGGGTATAGAACGTTCGGTATTATAGCTGCGAGTATTTCAGTGCAGGGAGTTCATGCAGTAATAACCGCCCCCCACATCTCACTGCCTTAACAGAAGCCTTCTTTACCCCTCTTGTTACAGCCCGCATAGCTGTTTGCACACACTCTAACCTGCAGGGACCCAAGCTCCCTCCCAGCTAGTGCTCCCACCATTTTCTAGAGCCTCAGGGCCTGCTGGCCCTTCTGCATCCGTGGATGTGGGAAGAGAATGGAGACTGTCCTGGAGGTCTTGGGGGCCTCAAGTCCCGTGTCCCATGTCCCGTGTCCCAGTCGATGTAGGTGAGCCTGGAAAATGTAGAACATTGCCCAGGAAGTCAAGGGGAAACACAAAGACTGCTAAACCACAATAAGGTTCTTCCTTTGTTTTGCTTTGTTTTTTGTTTTTTGTTTTTTCATTTCCAAGCTCCTTCACTCTGCACGTAATAATCTCTTCTTTTACATTCTAGCAGAATTTGCTTGTAGTCTAGCCTACACTCCCACTTCACTCGCTCAACAAATGTTTACAAAGTGCCTACTGTTCCTAGAGCACCACGAATACATACATGTCACATTTTAACAAGGAAGCAGAGGGGAATTCAAAATCGCAATGTAGAGAGAGCAGTGCTGTGTCACTTATATAGGCTGCGTATCCAGAGGTGGATTGATTCTGCTCAGGAAGTTCAGGAAAGATTTTGCAGAGGAGATGGCATTTGACCTGTGACTTGATTATAGGAGTTTGCCAGGCTGAGAAGTTGGGTGGGGTGGTGAAGATGGGGGCGGGGGGGTGGGGCTCCGTCTTCTAGGCGTTTCAGGCAAAAAGATCAGCATTAGCAAAAGCATGATGGGATAAGGATGCTTGGCCTATTTGGAAAGCTTCAAATCTGAGTGTAGCTGGAGCTCGTCTGGAAGAGATGGTCTAAAGCTAAGTTGAAGGGTGAGTCCAAAGTCAACTTGTGAAAGTCCTTATATGGTATACTGTTATGGGCCAAATTCTGTCCCTCCCCCTGGCCCCACATCTATGTGTTGAAGTCCAAACCCCCAGAACCTCAGAATGAGATTTTATTTGAAGACAGGGTCATAACAGAGGTAATTAAATTAAAATGAAGCCTTTCAAGGTCCCTAATGCAGTAAGACTGGTGTCCTTATAAGAAGAGGAAATTAGGACACAGACATGCGCAGAGAGAAGGCCATGTGATGACACAGGGAG